CGGAAGACCCACACCAGCCATCGATTTTATCTTGATTTTTTGTTCTTACTCTTCACAGTGGCAAAAAGCAAAATACAATATATTTGGACACTTAGGGAGAAGTACTTTGCTTCTTCATCTGCAGTCTTGTGTATGTTTGCAATGACTTGAAAATTAATTTAATGACCAAATCAATACATTTTTCTCAATTAAATTGTACATAAAGCATTTTGTTTTTCTTATAATAAAGTTATTCTTAATTTCTAAGTAAGTGTAGAATTTAAAATACATTTGAGTTTTACTTCATACTTATTCCTGGAAAAACCTAATCTTATATGGCCTTTTCTTCTCTGTGATCAACTCATGACTACCTTGCACTCATTAATACATTAATGAGGAAATAAGTCTCAATGGACATACTTCCCTATGACAGCTCAAAATATAAAGAAATTAATAGAGTCAATCTTATTCAATTAACTTGTTCCACAGTTGTTTCCATTACCTTATCATTTCTTCTGTATCCCTTACGAAAATTTAAAATGAGCCTCTTGAGAATCAATTCCCCAATATTTGGAAACTTGGAATTGATGATTGCTACAACTGCTGCATATACGTGAGTGAAGATGGGTGAAGCACTCTGGGCCTGCAAAATTGATCTTGCAAGTAATCCCCTGTAAATAAGAACAGAGACATAAAGACCCTTTCAAAAAACAAACCTCAATCCAAGTTTAAATGCAAGCAACAAGGCACATGGAAATGAACTTCCCTAACTTTAGTAGTGCCTCCAACTCCTTGAAAAGCTTGCAGAGAGACTGAGTCTCACCTGACTGAGCAGACTTCCCTGTATGGAAATTCCACCCACCCCCACCAGTCTACCCATTCAGCAGCTCCCCTGACTCTCTGCAATATTGTTTTTGTGGTGGAGAGAGGATCTGAAAGGGGTGCTCTGGGAAGAAGTAGATAGAGAAATCTAAATACCACTTAATGCATCTAAATTTGGACTTCATCTGTTACAAAGCTCCCGTAAATTATACAACATCATATAGCTTGAAGATAATCAGTGACTTTTCTCCACCACATTATATTATCAAAGTACCTAGTATATGATATTCACTATGATAATTTTAGGTTTTCCATCTGCTCTACTGCTCTTTATGGCGTAAGTTTATATTGCGATATTATACTTGGAGTAACTGTATTGATTTCCAATAGTGACCGAAGCTGCATTGGACCTACAATTTATGCTAGTTGACGTTTTAGCAATTAAAGGGGACATCCAGATTATAAATCAGAAGAGTGACTCTGAGAGTTATCTTATTTTGGACCCACAGAAGGGAAGTATTAAATTTCTGAAGTTGTTCCTGAAAACAGACAGGGAGAAAATGATAAGAGATCATCATGTGGGACTTTATTTGAAGAAGTGACTGAAGATCAAGCCTCTTAAAAAGAAAAAGGAGTTCAAATTGGACTTATTTGGTCAGGGTTAAATTGTATAAGTTGTGATTTTGGGTTGTTATTATTGGAATCTTTTTTTTTTT